AGGCTGACATGGGGTAGGCACCATGCACCATGCATGGGCAGCCTGCCTGCTCATTTGGACTTATTGCCATAGAAACTGCACAGACATCCCCAATCCATCTGTATGGGACAGGTGATGTGATTATCCCGGCCACAGATGGGGACAAAACAAAGTGATCAAGCTTACGAGCTGTGGCTAATTCTGAGCATCTGGCTTGAAACGCTTCAGACAGGCTCCTTTACAGCATTAAGGCCCATTTGATCACATGTAATTAGCAACATGGCTCTCTACCAGGCCGGGTGCCTGGCCACATGGCTGTGCCACCCCAGCAGCTCTGTGGTCTCTCTTGTATCCCTGCCTGACCTGCCTCTGCTCACTCCTGCAGGGCCAAGGAGATCAAGACCAAGTTGGGCACACTGCTTCAGAAGCCTGACTCGGCCATTGACTTCATCATCCCCTACCCGGAGAAGCCGGAGAAGCCAGCCAAGGCTGTGAAGTGAGCATGGGTTTGGGTAGCATGGCTCCATGGAATGTAGCATTCTCACAAAACTCAGTTTGCATTGAGATTACACATTCATTTAATGCAAGTTTTGTGGAGTGGGTGGATTGAGAATCATGTCAGGAGGCAAAATGAGCCTTTAAAAGAAAAGTTAACTTAAATCTAAAAGCAGAATGGTGTCCTGTACATAGTCAATAGTCCCATTATTACCCCCAGCCCAGCCTCACTGTGAGCCTGGGCATCAGGACATCCGAGCTGCTGCCCCAGTGCACTTACAATCCCTCAGCACTGTCACCATCATGTCACCCTTCACATGGCCTAATGTTCATTTCCACTTTAAAAATCATGACTTGAGTTGTCTGACTTGCACTGGTCCCTCAATGGGGAGTGCTTTCCTTTTGCCCCGATTCTATGGCACCCCGCCTTGCTATTCCTAAACTAAGCCTCAGAGATCCTGGTGACCCATCACCCCAGTTCTCCAGAGCTCTTCACTCCATCCCTCCCCATTTTTAAGGAATGACCACCTGCTGCACGATGAGCATGAGCTACCCAGGCTTTCTTTACCCCTTCAGACCATCCCCAGAGGAGGTCCTGCAGTGGCGTGACTCACTGGAGAAGCTCCTGCAGAACCCCTGTAAGTCCCCCTCTGTGACCATGTCCCCTCACAGCCAATGTTCCCCTGGTGTGCAGTGGGGATTCAGGATGCCCCAGTGCTCAGCAGTGCCTGACCCCTGCAGATGGGCTCGCCAGCTTCCGCAGCTTCCTGTGCTCTGAGTTCAGTGAGGAGAATGTCGAGTTCTGGGTGGCCTGTGAGGACTACAAGAAGACCAAGTCCCCTATGAAGATGGAAGAGAAGGCCAAGAGGATCTACGAGGAGTTCATCCAGACCGAGGCACCCAAAGAGGTCGGTGGCTGCAGGGTGGGACGGTGCTGGGAAGGATGGGGGTTCCTCTAGCTGATGGCTGCAGGGCAGGCTGTGCCACAGCCAAGGGGCTTGCAGCAGCTCCGGTGCCTTGTTTGCAGACTCAGCAGCCACCCTCAGCCCTTGCCTGGCTGAACCCGCCAGGTCTGTCCCCATGACCTTTTAGTGGGATGGAGCAAGTGAGGTGATGCCACCATCCCCTCACAAATGTGAAGCTCCCATCCTTCTCACGCTCCCATCGCAGGTGAACATTGACCACTTCACCAAGGCTGTGACCATGAAGAACTTGGTGGAGCCATCGCCGAGCAGCTTTGATATGGCCCAGAAGAGGATCTTTGCTCTGATGGAGAAAGATTCCCTGCCCAGATTCGTGCGGTCGGAGTTTTATCAGGAGTTAATCAAGTAGCAATGCGGCCAGGCTGCATGAGGCAGCTCACCACGAGCAGCCCTATTGCTTTTGTCTCAGCACCTACTCCTATAGCCACTTTGCTTTCATGATGCCACCCTACGAGAGTACGTAGGAATGTTGCTAAACACCTGCCTCAGTGCTTTGGACTCTCAGATGGCCCAGTGTCTCCTTTCTTTCCCATAGAGGACAAGCTCACAGGAGCGCCACGTGATGCTCCAGGGCCTGACTAGTTCAAAACACTGGCGTTGTTTAGCAACCCTACGTACCAAGCTCATAGTTTCCAGCCCGCAGCTGCATCCCCACTGCCCACATGTAGCCTGGTGTTGTGGCCCTGATGGCTGATGCCATACTCAGGTGGCATCTCTGGGGGTGCTGCTGTGATTGCTTCTCTCTCTGGTTGCTTCTCTGCAGCAGGCATGCCACAGCGATACTTCTGCACAAACCCAAACCAGGGGCACTGGTGAGAGGAGGGAGGACTGTCATGCTGGGGGAGAAAAGAGCTGCTGGGTGAAACCCGTCAGAGCAAATTCCAGGGAACAAAGCAAGCAAACAGCAAAGCCAAAGATGTCATTGGAACAATAAAACCCCATCTTCTTGAACAGATAACAAACTCTGTTGAGTTTGTGTAGCCTGCCTCTCTCTTCTGTCTCCCTCTCTCTGCCCAGGGCACGTGTTTCCACAAGGCCATCTCTAAAAGACCACGTCTTTTCAAGCAATCCAAATCCAGCCTGCTGTCTGCTACCAGAAGAAATTGCATCTGACGATGAGGCAAAGGCACATGCAAAAGGTAGCTGGGGCCTCATCCAGCCCCGAAACAGAGAGTTCCTGGATGTGGAATGATCTGAGCCCCATCCCTGGGGGATCCCTGCAGCATCCATGTGCAAGGAGCAGCAGGCAGGGACTCACTGCCTGCACTCACCCGCACTCAGACTGCTAAACTTTAGGCCATGAGGCTCCACAAAGCCTCTTCAGCGTTTACAGAATTGGATCAAAACCGCAGTAAACCCAAATATTTACACACTGTCACTACGGCAACGAATAAAAATACCACATGAAGTGGGCTGCATTTTCCAGGCAGGGAGGGGATGCAGGGGAAAGATGAAGGCAACCATAAGCATGATGTTGGCAGTGGCTTTTTTTCTCCTCTCAAGCAAGTGGCTGGGAAAGTCAGAGCTGGAGCAGCAGGGTGAGGCTGGTGAGTCCTCTGGGGTGGCTCAAGCTGCCCAAAGGTGTGGGATAACCTCAGCATGGATGCATGACAGGAGTGGGCAGGAGGCTCAGGCAGCCCCGCCATCAGGATATCCCCACCACCACCTGCATGTCTTCATGAAGAGATGCTACCATAACCAAGTCTGGCATGTTTAACCTCCCTGTTCACAGCACAGAAATGCAAATCCAATCAGGCCTCTCCGTGGAAAGACCCAGACCTTTACTTCCCATGAATGCTTTGGCAGCTATTTCCAGATACCCTCACACAGTTGAACTCTGATGTTGACACTCTTGAAGTTTGGATTCTACCGGAAGCTGAATGTGCAAAGAAAACCTGGGATGTCATTGGCTGCAGCAGCTCTGCGTGGGGCAGGAAAACAGGGCTGGGGTATGTGAATGCCCAAAAGAAAGCTGGAGGCCATGGAGGTGAAACGGTCCCATTGGGAATCCCACCCCAGCTCGACCTCTGCTGAAAATGTTGGAAACTTGCTTTAGGGGTGATGTAACAGTTCCAGCAAGGAATAGGGCGGCCATGAATTGTGCCCCCCAAAGTGTTTTGGAGTTCTTGTGAAGTTGTGTTTGTGTAGAAGGCTCGTTTGGGCATGCTCACCTGGAAACATAGCGATGCTTGCACCGCATGGCCAGGCTTTCTGCAGGCCCAGGAGTGTTTGCCAAGTTAGTACCAACCATCATATCTCTGGTAGCAAATTCTTCATGTATTTTGTCACTCTTGCTTTTACCAAGTTTGGCATATATATGAGCACTCTTCACATGACATTATACATCTATACCGTTGCATCCATACTTAAGTATACACACACACATAAACATAGTCTTAATATTGGCATCCAGATCCCAGTCAGTCTGTGAATCAAAGTGCAGGATACGGTGCCTGGGGTCTGAGGGATAAGTAAATGGATTTAGCATGGTCCCCAACACCACCAAGGGAAACCTCAGGCCCTCACCTGCTGAAAAGAGAGGTGCATCCTCCCTCACACCCTTAGAAGCCACTCTGTGCCATGGCTCTGGCACTGTGCACGCCAAGGCCCATAGGGTGCCTGGGGATCCTCCTCTGCCATGGGGCAAGGCAACCCCATGATGCAGCCTGGGCCCCAGCACCATGCCAGCATGGGATGGCCACAGGTGCCCATGGGTGGTTGAGGGTGTCCCAGGGCTCACCCCAGCCCTTGGCCACTGGTCTGGGCTCCCTGGCTGGGAATGCAGAGGGCCATGGCCAACATCCAAGGTTGGAGCAAGATGGGCTCCTTACAGGTCCAAGGAGCTGCTTCTCAGTTTGACGTTCTCCATGTGGTTTCCATGCTTTAAGATGCAGGATGTTGGTGTGCACTGAGGAACTGGTTGCATTAACCCACATTCTTGTACCACTCAGTAATCCACATATAAACATTTATTTCTGCTACTGTCTCAGTGGACTATTTATTCTGTCTCTGTGTTGAAGGGGCAGTATGTCCTTACCTTCCATAGGGTACTCCCAAAGCCCTGGCAAGCAGCAAAGTCCTCTGAGAGCTTCAGCTGTGCCAGATGTGTCAGTTTCCCAAGAAACTGGAAAAGGGAATAAAAATATCACCCCACGAGACTGGAGTGGAGGAAACCCCTGGCGCCAGCACAGTCTGGGCATCCCCCAGTGGGCAGCTCTACACCTGTAGTGCTTGGGCACACAGTCAGGTTGAGCACTGAGCTGCAGTGTGCTCCCCTCTGGAGCTCTGATGTGCAGTTGGGGAAGGGGAGATCCCAGCTGCAGAGGCACATGGGACAGCAGGGATTTGCAATGAGGAGGTTCCCCCCTCCATGAGTGGCCCCGCACTCACCCCAGCCCTGTGATGAGGGTGGGCATTCGCTGTCAGGAACAGCATGGATCCCCAAAAGCCTACCCCTACTCCCAGCCCCAAGATGATAGATTCCTCTGCGGGGGAGCACACCTGTAGGGGTATAATGGCTGCTTCACCCTTCCCTGATTTAAAACAATGGGAGCAGAGCCACCTGTGAAATGACTTTTCAGAGTAACTTTAGTCAGTGAATTGCATCACCACGCATTCTTGGGTTCACACAATGGCACTTTAGCAGGGACTAATCCAAATATGTTTTATTTAATATGTATTCATTATTATTTAAATATCGATACTTTTTTTTTTTTTTTGCAAGAGTTGTCAAGAGTTCCCAGTACCAGAGGCAAATAAAACATAGCCACATGCTCAGCTATGCTTAGAGTATTAGAAGCTCTCCATCTTGCAGCTGAACATGCAGGGTGGTATGTGTCAGCACACGAAGAAATGCAAAAGAAAGCAAATGTTAGAAGAGACGCTTCTGTGTGGGCCTCAAAGCACCACAGCCTTCTGCCATGTCAGAACCCCTGTGAGGACAGCTGTCTGAGGGATGCAGAGCAAGGAATGTATGGCTGTCAGAGCAGCAATTTCCAGCTAGGGAAAGACTGAGAGCTGGGGAGAGGATGACCAGAGCCCAGGAGCAGTAATGAGGCCAGCACACCCCTTCCACCATCTTCAGGACAAAAGTGAGTAATGCAACTACTGGATGACATGAATAACTTACATTAATAACTTAAAAAGCAAACAAACAAACAAAAAAAAAAAACCTGAAATATTTCAGGTACTCCCAAGCAGCACCTTCCCTCCTCAGCTGTTGTGGTAATGGTATTAGTCCATTACAAACTGCTTCATTCAAGTCAGGACAGGCAAACCTACATTCAAGAGTTACTAATATACAGCTGTCTGGAAGAGAAGACCATTTTTCATTTCTGCTCTGCTATGGTATTGGAATGGTAGTTTTAGTTTGGGATCATGAAGAGTACAATTACGTTCAAAAAACTGAACCTCCCCCTGATAATAGCTCTGTGTAGCCTTAAAAAAAGATAAGGTCCTTAGCCAACTTCATCTAGATGCTACAGAGGGAAAAGCAGCTCGGGGAGAGCTTTCATGCAATTTTGTGTAATGACCATAGAAGACTGTGTGCTAGCCTGAAAGTGTTGATCTCCCTTCAAGAAAGAGTGGAGCTCTTCCTGTGCCTGATAGCTGGGAGCTATACGAACAGCCAAGGACCAGACCAAGTCCTTCCTTCCCACCTAAGCTCTTGCTGATTAGAAGGGGAGCGAGATACCAGTCCCCATCACCTTGCTTTGCCTCCCTGCTCCTTGCTAAGTGTCACACTGTGACATCACAAGACTGTTCCCTTTACGGCCAGCGCTAGGTGTAAGTATGTGTGCCCCTTCCCTGCTGCTCCCACCCTCCTGGGCTCAGTGTTTGTCAGAAATGGACCCACAGTGACCTCACTGCACTCTCACATCAGACAGACCCCAGGGCTCCTACACAGTTGGAGTCAGAGGGTTTGCTACACAAACTGAGCCTGGTTTGGGTTACAAATGCTGGCTGCTGCATGACACGGGACACAACAGGGACATAAGACAGCTACTGAAGACAGCTCTGTTGTTTCATGCCAATGAATGCTTTTGCTGCCATATATTCCTACGAGAGCCCAGCCTGCTCCTGGCCTCGCTGCAGGTTCAGGCACACTGGGAGATGATATTAGAGTTACAGTCTAAGGCATGAGCGTGGGCTCTTTTGCAGTTTTCGGGCCCGCAGCCAGCTGTGGGTGGGCTGACCAAGTCCAGGTAGTAGGGGGACTTGAGGAAACGGCGGTAAGAATCCTTCTCCATGAGGGTGAATATTTTTCTCTGAGCCTCATCAAAGCAGGACAGTGTAGGCTCCAGCATATTGTGGCTCGTCTTCTCCCGTGTGCATGAATCCAGGTTCACCTGTGGGCCAAAGGGACAGCATCACAGCATCTGTCCCAGGAATGGTTAGCATACTCAAGTGCCTCCTAACTCCACCAAGTGAACTTAATCTGTCCGTGTGGGCAGTGGTCTGAAATGACCCTTGGACACCCTGTAGCCTTGCAGATGGATACCAATGCATCTCTTCTGCCAGATGAACTGTCAGGGCAGACTGACACACACTCCTCTGGGATTCAGCCTGCCACTAAACTCAAGCAATCTCATGAGGAGGTGGAACACTGGGAGCAGGTGGAACACTGGGAATCAGCATCCTCTTGGGCTTTTCCCACCTGAGTGTGCATGTGGGATGGCCACATAATTAGATCCACTTTCTCTCTATCCAAGTTAAATATTAACACAATAAAGATGACACCATTTCCTTGCTAAGCACAAGAGAAGAGGCACCTTTCTTGTGAAACTACCAGAATTCTTTTCCCTATTTCTGGCCTGGTTCAGGACCTGGGGTGATACCTACACCCAAGAAATGTTCTGTGCACATACCTCTTTTGTTGCCTGCACAGAGATGAATTCATCATATATCTTCCTGGCCTTGGGGCTGAGCTTGGCTGGTGACTTGGTTTTCTTGTAGTCCTCACAACTGACCCAGAACTCGATGTTTTCCTCGCTGTACTCAGATTTGAGAAAAGCACGGAAAGCAGCCAGACCTCCTACAGATTATAGAGGAAGATATATAGGGTTTATAGAGGAAAATCAGAGTGGGTAAGAGCTTTAATTTCTGGGTTTGGTCAACACATATGAACACCATATGCCTCAGCAAACAGCAGTTCTGTGTTACCCTTGACTGAGCAATTCCTCTCTGCTGGCAGCAGCTCCAGCCTCCACGGCAGCAGCTCATGCAGGCCAAAGGAGGCTGGAATTCAGGCAGGTCCCACTGGGATGTCAGACGTGGGTCCTCAGCTGCCTGCCCTCACACCGTGACCCTCAGTGGCTCAGCCAGAACACAAGCAACTTGCATGCTCCCAGAAGGCCATGAGGAGCCAGCTAGCATATGCTGCAGAGTATCAGGCCATGGGAATGGCGTGAAGGAAACCTCAAGGGCATCAGTGTGGTCTGGAACTGACAGGAAGACAAAGTCTCCCATGGACTCAGCTGGAAATAGCTTCTCTGCTTTCTGCCTCTTGTTTAACCCAATGTTCACTGCGTGCTGCAGTCTTGCTGCTCCTGAAATCATCTGGCATAGGAGTGGAACAGTTGCCCTCACAAAAGGGACAGCCTAGCAGTCAGCCAAAGCCCCATTCTTGTTACAACCACATTCGCTGCCCCTTGGATCTGACATACAGCACACTTCACCACCCCTCCCACAGGCCAAAGGAGCTACCTCGTGCTGTTAAAAGGCACAAAATAACACCCGAAGCCTCTTGGGACTGCTAGGCATGTTGGCTGCTGGTGGGACCCTCAGCATCTCCTCCTCAGCATCAGCATCAGCAGAAGGAAACTTTTTACTTACTGTCATGATGGATCAAATTTTCCAATGACTCTGCCCACTTTTTGACTTCCTCTTGGCTAACCCTGTCAGGAGGAAAAGGGAGAATCATAGAATCATTAAGGTTGAAAAAAAAAGCTAAGAAAATCTAGTCCAACCATCAGCCCACTCACACCATGCCCACTAACCATATCTCTCAGTGCCACATCTGCATAGTTCTTGAGCACCTCCAGTGACAGTGACTCCACCACTTCCCTGGGTAGCCTTTGCCAGTGCCTCCTTTCAGGTAGGTGTAGAGAGAAATAAGGTCACCCCCGAGCCTCCTCCAGACTAAACACTCCCAGTTCCCTCAATCCCTTCTCATCAGATTTGTGTTCCAGATTCTTCATAGCTTTGTTGCCCTTCTCTGGACACGCTCCAGGGCATCAATGTCTTTCTTGCAGTGAGGGGCCCAACACTGAACACAGCACTTGTGGTGTGGCCTTACCGGAGCTCAATAGAGAGGGATGATCACCTCCTGGTCCTGCCGGATGCACTATTTTTGATACAAGCCAGGATGCCATTGGCCTTCTTGGCCATCTAGGCACACTGCTGGCTCATATGTTCAGCTGAGCATGGACCAACACCCCTGATCCTTTTCCTACACACAGCTTGCCAGCTACTCTGCCCCAAGCCTGTACCAGTGCATGGGGTTGCTGTGACCAAAGTGCAGGACCTGGCACTTGGTCTTGTTGAACTTCATCTCATTGGCCTCAGCCCAGCAATCAACCTGTCCAGATCTCTCTGTAGGGCCTTCCTACCCTCAGACAGATTGACACTTCCTTGGTGTCATCTGCAAACCTATTGAGAGTGCATTCAATTCTGTATTCAAACACACAGGACTTCAGGAGGCACTAAGAAGCAGCAGCAGCAGCAGAAATGCTAATGACTCCATCTCACTGCAGGAGTAAACAGCACAATGCAGCCAACCTTTGCTCAACTGCATGGCAGCATGGCTCTTACCTTTGGCTTGGAGATACTTTCTCCTTCTTGCCATGGGAAGAGCCATAGTCACAGGAATCTGACTTCTGCAGCAAGATACCCAGACGATGCTTCATATCCTTGGCACTGAAAGAAACGATTCAATAATGACATGAGAATAGTGCACTACAACTCCCTCTGCAGCCACCTTGCCTGCAGTAAGCTTGTTCAGCACTGTTTGGTTAGATCAAAGCAGGTCACAGCCAGTGACTCCAGTGCTGGCTTTTCACTCCTTGTTTCATTTGCTAGACAAAATACAGCAGAGTCAAAGTGTTCATATGTTACTCTCAGGAGCATCATCTTGCTGAGCCCCTCAGCCTATAGGGAGGGTGGGCAAAGGGGAGAAGCTGTTGTATTACTACTAATTGTTTACACTTAAAATATTGTGACAGAAAACCATCACTAAATCTGCTGCTTCTCCCTGAACTGACTTGCCCAGCTACTGGTGTCTGATTCTATGCTTACTAATGTCTTCCTGCAGGAGGGTGTCAGTATTATTTGTTTCCAAAGCCATGGTGAGCAGGCAGCCTTTTTCCCCAGATGACAGCAGGCATACCCTCTGTGCTGTGGGGCAGGTCATGGTGCTGGAGGTGCACAGGCAGCTCAGCCAGCACAGGGGTGGCCTGGCCAGTGCCACACATGGGACACAGCCAGACCCCACATCAACCCCTGTCTCCTGCTCCTGCAAAGCTTGGTTTCTGCACTCGGGCTGTGTTCTGGGGAATGAGCCCCAATGTTGTGAAATCATGTCTGCCTTGCTTCCCCCTCAAAGAAATAAAGAAAAGGAAACTCACCAGAGATAGAGAGCTGAAAGCAGAAAAGGGGTGCAAAGCTTGCGGCAGAAGCAGATGACAGGAATATCAAGGCAGAGCAATGCTGCGAGCTGTTTGTTTTGCTGATGGGAAGGATGGTTTTAGCGTTCCCACAGCTCAGTACAAATCCCTTAGGCAATTCTGTTTCTGACTAACAGTAAAAAGCCTGTAAACCATCATTTGTATATAATCTTACAAAGGAATCAGAGCCAAATCTGGTACTTCTGCCTCAAACACAAAGTGCATCATTGTATCTCCAGGCAAACATGACCACGAGAGATGCTCGGAAATAAACAGTACCTTTTTAAGCAAGTGGCTGGCAGTGCAGCGAGTCCCTTGCACATCTTGCTCCCAAGGTCAGGTCTGTATTCCAGGAAAAAAATAATCACAAGGCAGGAGGCAGCAGGGGCTGTGCAGGTCCTTTGCTGGCTGCAGAATTCGGTCTGCCTGTGAGCCAGCTGCTTGGTGTGGCTCTGTTTTATAGCCTAGCCCAGCCAGCCCAGCAGCACTCAGTGACCCAGTCAGCAGCCAGCATAGCAGCTGCACCGTCCCCCTTCTGCCCACCCAAGAGGAAGAGGGTGACGTATACGCTGAGACAAATGGCTGAGTGGGACTGAAAACCTTACCAGAAACGAAGCTGGGTGGCTGGGTGGATTCTTTGCAAAGGACGGAAAAAGCTCCAGGGGTTTTCCCCTGTCTCAAAAGATGGAATGGTGCTGATAAAAGCTGGGGGAAGATTTCAGAGGGGCACAGTGAAAAAGGTCAGGGGAATCGGTTCTGTCAGTTCCTCAGTTCATTTTCCCATTCTTTTTAAAGGAATCTAGTGAAAATAAGGGACAAGAATTCAAAACCCCATTGGTTCCCACAACCTCAGCAAATGCAGAAGCTGGAGCTGTGAGGAAACAGGAATGTGAATTCACCAGGGAACTACCCAGGCAGATGAGACTGGGTACTTTCATTCTGGAGGCGTGTGGATATACGCCTTTGATCAGGCTGAAAGAAAAGGTCTGAGGAGCACATCACCACTGGAATACAAAATGAGTTAGTCCCAGCACATTTATATTTAAGGACAGCTCATGCATATGTGTAGGAAAAAAAAGATGAGACATTGAGAACATGGCTGCCTTACATATACGGATATCACTAACACCTCAATTCTTCATCTGCATTTGCCCCCAGTCAAAAGCCAGGCCTTGCTACCCAGTGTATCTGATCACCAAGGGGAGAGAATTCATCAGCACATTGGGCATAGCAGTGCCTCCTCGGAGGGGACTTCCTGGCAGCACTGAGGCTGCTCTGTGCTAAAGAATGGATGCACCACACACTTGGGCATGGGAATGCTTGGCTGCGCTGCTTGGCTCTGGTGTAGTTCTGAAGGAGAGTTGAATGACTCCAGGAGGGTGCAGAAGGCAGAAGGAAGCTGAAAGCACCCTTCTGGAAGCGAGAGCTGGCTGATAGTTATTGAGCTGCTGCTCAGCACAGTCTTTACCATCATTACAAGAGGTGTCATGCACCATCATGCGCACAGGCTGCTCCTGTAAAACAAAGCAACTTCAGTTCAGCAGCAGGCTGTCTGCCCACATTGCCCACTGCTGGGCTCCCTCTCCCAAGGACACTTGAAACACTTTGCCCACAGCCTGGAAAAGGTGCAGGGTAAGCTCTTCCCTCCCATATCTTTACAACCTCCAGCCTGCAGCACAGAAGACCCAACTCCTGGACTAGCTTACCTGCCTTGGCACACTGCATCCTCTCAGTTCGTTACCTGCACTGGATGTTCGTTAAGTGAAGCATTAAGTGCTCCAATAAACCTTAAAACGCTTTTATTCTAATGTGACTACTGCCAGACCTGAGCTGTGCAGTTCCCACACTGTTTGGACTATAATTTAACTCTAGCACAGGGCGCCGTCACACTTCATCTGGGTGTTGGTGAGCCAACAGCACTTGGGTGGGTCTGTAGGGAGTGACAGAGCACTGCAGAGCTGGTGCCAAAGCTCTCTGATGTCTCTTATTTTAAAAGTCAAAGAGCAGAATATGGCCAAGGAAAAAAATCTTACTTAATTGAGCAATTAAACGATTTAATTAATTTTAATCTTACACTTGTGAGATTCTGCTGCTGCTAGCAGACTGTAGCACACTCATGCTTGCTAAGCCAAGGAACCTGTGTCCAGGACACAGAAATTCTGCAGTTTTTCTGCAAATGGGTGTATTCAGAAATTTAGGAATCTTACACTTTCTGTATACAGTAAGCACATTTCCTGTGCAGTTCTCAACATTCACTTACCTTCTGGATACCCCAAAGGCTGTGAGAACAAGAGGCATTTTCTAACACTGCCAGCACAACAGACAGCAATTAAGAATTAGGCAATTTGCAATTAAGACCACCTTCTCCAGACTGGGCATGCAGACTCCCAGAACTGCAGCATTCAAAATTTTGCTCTTTCCAGCTCATTAACACATGCTTGTTCAGTTTGTTCCTCCTGCCAGGAGCGTGGGTTTGTGTTGTGTTTCTCCTCTCCATTGTGTTTCCCAGCTGTTGAAGTTCAGTATCATCTCAGCTGCTCCAGATGGTCCCCAATGAGAAATATTCCTCTTCTATCTGTTCCCCTACCCCTTGTATGAGCCCTTTTCTCCCAGCACACAGGTAGGGCTGTTCTTGATGCCAAGATCTCATCCCTGCCAGTGGAAGCATGGCAGCTCTTGTGTGTGCCATGCAATTTCTGCTTGCCTTGCCTGCGGACAGAGAAGGGTGGGGAGGTCAGTAGTGAGGATGGGCAGGGGGTACGAGGCTGGGGGCTCCCTGCCAAAACATCTCTAACGAATACTGCCACAGCCTTGAAACATGATGCTGTCAGAAGTGAAAAAAGCCTGAAAAAAACGAAGTAAATGCCAAGGAATTCCTCAGAGTGGCCTGGGAGATAGAGCGAGAAGCAGAGCTTTCTCTCCTGCCACTATTGCTAGGGAACAATCCACACACATGCTCATCCACCTCCCCCACTAGTGTGTGTGTGGGATGCATCCCTCAGCAGTGCAGGATGTGTCCCTCAGCTCGCAGTATAGGCTGTGGGAGGAGGCTGGGAGCGTAGAAGTACTGTTCCTGTGGTCATTGCCCAGCGTCAAGCTACCAGAGGCCATTGCCCTCCCTGCAGCACAAGGCTCTTTCCCTGCTGTGCCTTGCTGAGGCTTGTACAGGCTGGATACCTCTTTCTGCTGCTCCTGCTGGTCTGCCAGGCTCCTCAGGACTGCCCTAGCATGTGTCTGGGTGCTGAGCATCCCCATGGCAGTATGCCTGCTCCCTGCCTGTAAGCACTCTCTTGCATGGAATCCCACCCACCACAGATTCCTTCTCCAGTACACCTGTCAGTGAGTAAGACTGTTCTGCTGACAAGGACCACATCTTCTCCACTCACATGCATGGTTTGATTGAATTACCACTAATGACCTGGGAGCAGGGCGCCCTGGAAGGTCTGTTTGGGTGTGAGTTTGGATGAGTCAATTCTGTGTGTGCCTGCATCTGACACTACAAGCAGCCACGTTTCCTGTCCTGGGGTTCTGCTGGGGCCTGGCTTCTCTCAAAGATGCATGGAAAAGCCTAATTTGTCTCCATCAGGTCCCCCAGCCAGCACAGGGATTCCTAGAAGTGGCATTCCACAGCACAAAGAAACAGAACTGTCCCTTGCCTCTGCAGTGCAGCGCCTGACTTCATGCATGACTGCAGCCACAGCCCTGGTAAGCAGCCCAAGGCAGCCTGTGCAGGGAAAGCATCCATTCCTCAATTAGCCCTGACAAGAGCCATGACTCACCCTGCTGCCACATGCTCCATTCGCTGCTTACACGCAGAATTTCTGTGAGTGGATTTATCTCCAGGCTGACCCAGTCACCTCTTTGCTTTTCTTGTCTACGATAAAGATGAACTTTTAAAGGTGATGCAGCTTTGAGTTGTTCTGTTGAGCCTGCTCCTCTCTGAAGTGATGCTCTGTAGATGTTGGCTTATTCACGAAGCAGGTTCCATCTTCATAGGCTTTATACAACCAAAGAAGCAACTCATTCAATGTTTCCACACTCCCAAGTATTTCCTACTTGTACTGTGCCTATATTACATACTACTCGTTTGGGGTGGTGGTTGTTTTGGGGTATTGCTTTTTCTTCAATCCTTAGTTTCTGGGTTGCCTACTTTTGTTGCTATCAAGAAGGCTGAGAAAAATCAGAAAAAAAATACTTAAACTTGTAGCAAAGGAAGAATTTTGTTCTGCCCAAACAGACCTTTTTTCTCCTGTTTCGGGTTTGCCAATGAAACAAAGAGTTTTTTGTCTGACCACTGCTCTTGTTTCTGGGCATCAAACAGCAGAAAAAGCTGCAGTTTGAGTAATTTGCCTTCCAGTTCCCAGATCTCCATCTCATCATCAATTGTGATTAACAGCCCATTAAACATTTCCTTTTGATCACTCAGAAAGTTTTGAATAACACTGGACCACAAACCAAGCTACCATATGCCTCTTCACTGATGCTTTCCAAATACTAAAAACACTTTGAAATGTCTCAGCCAGTTTGAGTCCATTTAATATGGATTTTACAGTATTTTAACCCAAATATTGACAGCAAGTCAGACTCATCTGTTTTATCACCACATCAGTCTCAGAAAAAAAAAGCACTATTAGGTTCATTAGAAAAGGTCTGGTTTTTTCCATTAAATCATGTCAGCTGGTATCAATTACATCACCTCCTTTTCAGATGGGTCTGCTATCATCTGTGCTACCAGTGTTCCTGCACTGATCAAAAGGTTAATAGCTTGGTGACTACACAGCTTCTTTGCTTGCTGGGAAATGCCCTACCAAGGCAGCAGCAGTGAGACGTGAAGGTGGGACAACTCAGATGGCACCATCATAGCAGCATAGGATTGTTTGGTTTGGAAGGGACCTTTAAAGGCCATCTGGTCCAGCTCCCTGCACTGAACAGGGACACCTACAGCTCCATCAGGTGCTTAGAGCCCATCCAGCCTGACCTTGGGTGCTTGCAGGGACTGGGCACCACCACCTGTCCAGGCTAATTCCAGTAGCTAAAGGACACTGGTCTGTGCGCAGCTCCCTTGGGCATCTCTCACTGATGGGCTGACTGCTTCACATGAACATAACCAAGGATGCAGAGGAGGCAGAAAGTGAGAAGGGAGAGAGCATGGCTGCATCAGGAATGATGAGCATCAGCTCCTTTACATACAGCTGAAACACTCCCTGCTCTTCCTGCGCCTTGGCAACCCAGCTGTGCAGGGACTTCTTGTCTATAGCTTTGAAAAGCTTGACTTTTAAACATGGCTGAGCTATCTTCTGCTGAGGTGATCACTGGAGGATGTGAAGTTACAGCCTACATCTTTCATGGCTGTGTATCTGGCGAGATCTGCAGCCTTGATCTTCCTTCCTCCCTTCCTTCCTCTCCTCTTATCTTTCCAGCAGCAGCAGAGCAGGATTAGAGCTGCCATACCTCAGAGGCCCACACCAGGGAATGAGGACACAGCTTTGTTCAGGAGAGCAAAGCCCCGGGGACACTTTGTAGTGAGGTCACGGCTGCGCAGCCACAGCTTGTTGCTCACTGCTCCAATCACAGGTTGGATGTTTAATTCTCTAAGCGTGCTTACAAACAGCACTTTGGAAGCAGCAAGCATCTGCAGTGCCTGCCTCAGGGGTACACTGGCTATCTAAAAGGTGATGCCTGGCAAGTCTGTGGGTGAGGATGCAGAGTGTTTGCAGGCTAAGGGAACACAGAAGCAAGGATAGCACCTCAACCAGAGGAGCATCTATTCAAAAGCATTCTGTGATGCCAAGAGTGCAGCTCTAAAAGGTGTCAGCTGTCAGCGGGGCAATAGGCTGCTGGCTGAGGAATCACAAAGAGCAAGCAGTCAAATGAGAGGGCATTGAACAAAAGCTGATCCCAGCCTGAAGTTCCTCAACCCGTGTCTTGGAGGCGAATTAGACAAGATGAAACTGCAAATGGTAAACATCCAGTGTAGCAAAAATGTGGAACTGCAGCACTGGGGGAAAAAGTCGCTTGCTGCAGAGGCTGGTGGCACAGAAAGGCACACGGTTTGTCACAGACATGCAATGAAACTACTAGAAAACAGCCACTGCTTGATGAGCTGTTTTCCAGCACCTCTTGTTTAAAATGCTTGTTACAGCTGCACTTTACAGCAGATCTGAGCTCCACTGTGCCACAGAAAAAAATATGGAGAAAAGCTGTGAGCAGAATCCATGGCACACAGTGCTCAGCTGTGCAGGCAGCTGATGTTCGCAGCATCATGCTGAGAGCAACAGCAGTTAAAGCTTCCTCATTTAGAAATGTCTGCTTTTTCAGGAAAGAAAAGAAAAAAAGAAATACATGTTCCATACTGTTGTATTTCATCCTTCTGACCTCCTCAGCAGAATGGCTGTGGCTGAATTTTTCCTGTCTCCTCTGAAGCCGTGCTTGCCTGGATTGCAGGCTGGATGCTGGTGGCTGCAGTCAGGCTCATCTGTGTGGCTCTGCAGCCTGCCATCCCACAGCATCTTTGTGCTGTGGTGCTCCACAGAGGCATAAGTCGACGCAGGAAGAAAAAGAGGGGCTCTGAACCTGGTTTGAATCAAGCCCCAGCACCAATAACCGGCTCTTCTAAAGTAGGATCACTCGGAAACTTCCACAGGGGAAGGCTTCTAAATGAAGCGATTAAAATGTAATATAAATAAATGAAGAGATGCCAGGCAGAAGCACAGTTTCCACTCTTGGCACGCGTGGCCAAGAGCAGTCCATGTGCCTGGTGATGCTGTGCCAAATGCAGGGCCTGCTGCAGGATGTCACACTGCCGTGTCACGGGGAGACACTCAAGCTGCTGAAAGCTGGAGGCAGCCCAGGGAAGGAGGTCTTCTGGGAATGCCACGAGCTCTTCCTGTAAAGCAAGGTGCAGTGCAGACAAAATAACAACCACTGCAACTGGTCATAGAATCATAGAATTGGTTGAAAAGGACCTCAAAGG